AACCACAGTCAGACTACAGTGTAACTACAGTCAGACTACAGTCAAACCACAGTCAGACTACAGTGTAACTACAGTCAGACTACAGTCAAACCACAGTCAGACTACAGTCAGACTACAGTCAAACCACAGTCAGACTACAGTCAGACTACAGTCAAACCACAGTCAAACTACAGTGTAACTACAGTCAAACTATAAATGAAGCCGTAAGTAGAATTAGAATTCAGTGGTGCAAAAATAGTCAAACAATAGTCAAAACACAGTTAATCATGACAGAAAGGTAAACATGACATTTAGATGAAACCAGGCTCTAACTGTGGGCTGGAGCAGATAAAAACCAGGGTTTTTTTTTTACCTTCTGTTTCCGTGGCCCAGTTTTCCGTCTTCAGCTTCTCCCCAGGAATAAACCTCGCCCTCGGACGACAGAGCCAGACAGTGTTTCCCTCCAGAATTCACCGCCACCTTCCTGATGAACACGTGTTGAATGGACTCCAGTAACGTGGGCGTGGACACCGACTCTGTGCCACCGATTCCCAGTCGACCTCCTGCTCCGTAGCCCGTGGCGTAGAGCTGAGGACACGTAGGGGCAAGAATGAAGTTGGACCCCAGACACAGGACAGCGGACATCGCAGACGGGGACAGAAAAGACCAGTGGAGGGCAGCGTGTGATGATCTACCAACCTTCCCGTCTGCAGTGACGGCAAACAGCGTCTGCTCTCCTCCAATCAGCTGCACCGGCCTGAGTGTGGCCAGCGCCTCGGTGGGAGTGGGCACTTTGACCTTGGCGCCCTCGATCCCTCCCAGCTGGCCCCTGTGGTTGTGGCCCCAGCCGTAGATGGTTCCGCTGCCCCCCGCTGAGAGCGTCCAGTCGTCGGGCCGTCGGTTCATCCACTGCACCAGCTGCTCGTCCTGCTCTCGTCTGAAGAGCTCGTGGCTCTCGTGGAGGTTGTTCATGCTCTCGTGGTCGGCCATCAGCTCACGAACTTTTTTCGTCACCTTCAGACGGACGAAGAGTTTAAGGATCTGACGGAGCTGCAGGAGCGAGGACAGATGGACAGATGGACAGAAGGCTGAACTCACCTCCTCCAGGAAGAGTCTGGGCAGCGGACTCCTCTTGTCCAGGGCCACAGACACTCGTGAAGCCGTGCAGTACCGTCGAAACCACGCCCACTTGTGGGTCTCAGCGCAGCAGGGTAACGTGTCCAGTTCCAGGTCACAGGCCAGCGCCACCAGAACCTGGAGCAGAACAGACCACATCACAAACATTTTCCTGGCAGAAAAGCCTCGACTCCCCGGCCAACCCCCCCACCCCCCACCTCCACCCCATCCAGCAAATTTCTTAGTGCCTTCTTCAATCATCTCGACCAGAATTCATTTGAAAAAGTTTAAAAAGTGAGTAAATATGTAGACCTCCATGTAGACCTCCATAACCCCAACCCCCCTTCACAGCACGTCACAACGTCCTTGTGAAGAAAACTACAAGAACGGAGAACGTTCTGGAAGAAACGAAGTCCAGAAGCTCTGGTACCTTGAAGAAAGGAGAGTGGAGAAGCTGTTTCCCTCCTCTGACCACAGGATCTTCATATTCATACTGACGCTGCAGAGCTTCAGGTAGACCTTTGACCAGAGCAGCCAGAGCACTTCCTGTCAGCGACTGAAGCAGAGAAGAAACTTCCTGTTCAACTCATCTCTGACAGGAGTTAAACAAGAACACAGACCTGAGCTTTGGAAACATTACAACCAGACTCCGGTCCAGTCTGAGTCACTGGAGAAGGTCCTGGTCCAGTCTGGACCAGACTGAGTCATTGGAGAAGGTCATGGTCCAGTCTGGACCAGACCGAGTCACTGGAGAAGGTCATGGTCCAGTCTGAGTCCAAGTCATAAACAACAACAGTAAAGGAGCAGAGAGAAGATGTCTCTCTAAAGACATCATCTTAAGTCTTCATCTAAAGTCTGAGAGGAAGTGACATCATCCCTGTGACCTCACCATGGAGCGAGATTCACCGTCGGTATCTCCCAGCAGACGGTTGATGTTGATGGACTGACCATACTCTGTGGTCAGAAGTTTCCTCAGACGTTGCAGCGCCCACATTCTGTGACCCGCAGCTACAGCAAGAGAAAACAAAATGGATGAAAAAGTAGAACTGCTCATTAGAACGAGAACTGTCTCGTTCTGTCACTGGTTCCTGCTACTAAAAAATCAAATCTACTCAATGGTCAGTGGATTATCAGTAGTCAGTGGATTATCAGTAGTCAGTGGATTATCAGTAGTTGGTCAGTAGTTGGTCAGTGGATTATAGGTAGTCAGTAGATCACCAAGATACCAGTACCAAGTGCACTGAGCTGAGCGCAGGCAGCCAGCGAGGCAGCCAGACGAGGAATGATGCTCCTGTTGGAGGCAAAGTTGAGTCTGAAGTCCAGGAGACATGTGACCAGGTCCATGGAGGGACAGGAGAGGATGCAGCGGTCAGACAGAAGGTCTTTAGGACCTGAAGGTCAACACAACAACAGTCATTCAGGACAATCCAACCATCACCAGGACATGACCTGCTGAAATCCCCACACAAGACATTAGCGCCCACTGGTGGTCCTGTGGAGAAATCCAAACTCCTGTCCAGGACTGATCTCAGTGACAGCGTCATTGTCAGATTGTAACACGACCACCGACAGATTTTGATGAGGTCACACGTCACAGACAGATCAAGTCTAAAACACCTCACCAGCAGCAGGCATGATGGGATAGACGGTGAAGCGCCAGCCCCAACCGTTGACCGAACCATCACTGGTGAACTTCCACTTCAGCTCATCTCCAGGTATTCTCAGTTCACTGGACCAGTCGGACCATTCCCGACCTGATCCAAGGAAAACAAGAGTGACTGACTATTTCACTTCCTCTCACAGGTCACATGACCTCCTCCTCCTCCTCTGCTCACCTGATCTGACAGAGACGATCCTGTTGGCTCCGTCCATAACGGTCAGTGGATCGTGGCGTCTCTCGGTGGAACACTGTCGGTCAAACTCGATTCTCAGACCCTCGGCTCCTGGAGAGAACGCAGACTAAAGTGATTCAACAGGAACGTCTGTGGTTTGAACTTTTCTTTCAAGCATCAGAAGAACACTGCCCTCTGCTGGAGCGTTCTATTTGTTACCTCCAACATCAGTGGTCTGTTATTTTCCCTTCAGACCCTAACCCCCAAACTGACCATCCTGCGTCTGTACTGTTGACAGTACTGACGAGTGTGGACTGGTGTTTACCTGGGATCTTGACAGTGCCACTGGTGGAGGTGTCGTCGGTGTACGGATGGCTGCTCTCCACCACCACAGGCTGAGAGGACAGTCGTCCGCTCTGAGAATCTGTGGCAACGTCTTCCAGCTCGGTCACACACAGCTCCAGCAGCATGTCTGCCACCTGGAGGAAGAAAGATGCAAATCATTGAAGCCGCAGGTGACTTCCAGTTCTCTTCTGAACCCACACACAGTCTGAACAGAACCTGGGGGTATGCTGTTCCCATCCCGGACAGAACCAATGACAGAACTTCTTTGCCTTTGTCTCCAGCTCGACAGGCCACGCCAAGTTTGAGGAGGTCCACCATGACCCGTGTATCATCAGGGACCAGGAGGCTGGTGAACTCGTCCAGATACTGGGGTTCTGGACCGACCACTTTACTCTGACTCTCCGAGTCCTGGAGGGAGACACACGGTATGACAATCACAGAACAGACAGACCAAAAGGTGGGTCGCAAGAGACTCGCATCATGTTTCCCAGGAGTTTTAGGTCACGAAGGTTTGTGGGTCCCCAGAAAAAAAAGTTTGGGAAACACTGATCTGAAAGGCTCTCAGAAATAAGTCGCAGTATCATCTGCATATGAGTGGAGTTCACAGGGTAATGTTCCAAACATCAATCACAGTAACTCTGTGATGACATCACTGTGGGCTCCACCCACAGACGCATAATCTAAAAATACCTAAGGAGCATTAGCTCTAATTTTAGACCATATCCTGCCCAGCGTGGGGCGCTGCAGTCACCTCTTTAGTTTTGGTCATGGTCTCAGCAATGATGCTGGCCGCCCCGGGATCATCAGTGACGGGAATGAAGGGACGTGAGGAGGCACCAGAGGCCGAGGGAGTCACAGCAGAGGAGGGAGTAACGGCATCTTCAGAGGAAGGAACCTGTTGAAACACAAACAGACCAGAACCATCAGGACTTTAACTGAGACCGGAACACACTGATGTCAGCTGATGTCGCCCCCTGGTGCTGAAACCAGCCCGTGTACAGACAGGTCTTTCACAGTGACAGCCATTGTTTGTTTCCTCACCTCATTCTTCTTCTCCTGCCATGGACTTGGACTCAGACGTTCCTCAGCCTCAGGAGGAGGTGCAGCTCCTTCTTCATCACTCACACTGGAGGAAGAGGAGGAGGAGTCTGATGGAGGAACTGGAGAACTGGACGGGCACTCAGCAGAGGAAGAATCATGCTGGCTGGCATTAGAGCACCGACCACAGCGTCTCTGTGACACACACACACACACACACACACAGATGTCAGTCAGTGTGTGTGTGTGTGTGTGTGTGTGTGTGTGTGTGAAGTGCATGTTTGAATTGTGCTGTGGATGGAGATGTTCCTGGAGGAGGCGTCACACCTGGCGTAGATGATCTGCAGAGCAGAGAGAACATGAGTCAGAGCCTGTTGTTTGGCCAGGTTCCCCTCCAGACTCAGGAGGATCTTAGCCAGAGACGGTCGGTTTGGTTTCACGTTGTTCTGTCCGTTCATCTTATGACTGACTGAGGAGGAGTCGCTGTCCGACTGAACACCTGAGGAGAACGGAGGAGACGCAGCGGTCAACTGATGACGTCACTTCTGTTCAAGTGGATCAAGAGACGCTGCTGAAAGGAGGCGTCACCGAGGTACGAGGCTCCCAACGAGTCTCTGGCCGTTTGGAAGAGAACCGGCTCGTGGACAGAGGGCGTGGTCACGTCCACCGTGGTCCAGGCCACGCTGTGGGAGGAGCCACAGGCCACTCTGGTGATCTTCTGTCCCTCCAGACCCTGGACCAGAGTGGGCTTCCTGTTCACTGTGGTGGTTCCGTTCCCCTGCTGGCCGTGATCGTTATCACCCCAGGCATAAACCTGAGCCAGAGAGACCCCCGCAGGTGAAACAGTGAGATACAGCTGAGAACAGACATCTACTCCATGTTGGACAGTACTGAAGAGAGTCGACGACTACAAACTCTGGGATTAAAGGTTTAACTTGGACTTTTCATTTTTACACACGTTGATTTTTATCATATGTCTTTTAATAATAATAATAATAATAATGCATTTTATTTCACAGGCGCCTTTCTGTCACCCAAGGACACCTCTGTTTTTCAACTACACATCCAGATGATACAGAACCAGGATTTAAAATGGTCCAGACCAGTGGATGGGATCAGACCTGACCTTTGATGACCCCCATGGTGCAGATTAGTGATAAACTGTATCAGAGGAAGGTTATTAATGAACAGAGCTCCCCCCGCAGGAGAGGAGTCATGCTGCAGCTCAGACCTGTCCTGTGTCGGTCACAGCCAGGCAGTGCAGCGCTCCCACGGCCACGTGCACAATCTTCTTTCCTCTCAGTCCTTCGACCATCTGAGGCTTCCTCACGTGCACGTCGGTGCCGTGACCCAGTCGGAAATAATCTCCCTTTCCCCTGTTGGAAAAGCAAGAGACAGATCAAGCAGCAGCAGTGTGTGTGTGTGTGTGTGTGTGTGTGTGTGTGCACGTCAGTCAGTGTGTGTGTCGGTGGTATTTAATCAGTCACTAAAGTCCAGCTCGTCTCCTACAACTGTCTCTTACGTCTCATTTTCATATTACAAAAATATTTATTAGTCGGTTCCAGAGTGTAGCGGTTAGCACGCCTGCCTCGGAAGCAGAGAGTCCTGGGTTCGATTCCCAGAGGAATGTTTGATTGTTAATGTGTGTTAGTGTGTTCAGTGCTTCTCACCAGGTCCAGACCACCCCAGACTTGGTCAGAGCCAGAGAGAACTGAGCTCCACACTCAATCTGACAAACTCCTTGACCGTTCAGACGTTCAATGTTCTGAGGAACGTTACAGCCCTCGCTGCCACCGCGGCCCAGCTTCCCAAAGTCACCGTCCCCCCAGGAGAACACCAGACCTGAGGAGCGTCCAGAAAAACAAAGTACTGCAAATGTTTAGAAGTACAATCGGTACCACCATCAGAACCCTGAGACAACGGTACCTTCATCAGTGAGGGCCAAAGTCTGAGCGTCTCTGCTTCCACAGGCCACTTGGACCACACGATGTCCCAGCAGAACTTTCACCTGCAGGGGAGGGGGGACAAGTAGAGCGGGCTTAGATATCACAGATCTGTGGTGGTTTATTTCTGTCTGCTCCCTCTCAACACTACTATGACTGCACTGGTACCAGTTTGGGTCTGAGCTGGGTGGTGTTGTCTCCGTGTCCCAGGCGTCCGTACTCCCCCAGACCCCAGCTGTACAGTTCTCCACTGGAGGTGATGGCTGCGCTGTGAGAACTCCCACAGGCGATGTCTCGGATCCGTTTGCTCTTCAGAGCCTCGATCAATCGAGGTTTGTCACAGTTCCTATCAGAAGGAGAACCAGAACCCAGTTAGTAAGCTCAGAGGTTCCACACACGTCAGAGGAGAGAAGAACCAAGGTGTTAGTGGAGATCTCATGAAGACTTCCTGTGGTGTCAACATGAAGAAAGAGAAGAAGTTCTCCCCGTGGACCAGCGGAGTAACATTAGAACTTCTCTGGAACCAAAGTCTAAAGTCAGGAGAACCTACATGCGACTGAAGTGGCCCAGTTTCCCATCGTCTCCTTCTCCCCAGGAGAAGACTTTTCCGTCCACAGTCAGAGCCATGGCATGGCGCCCCCCAGAGTGGACAGCCACCTTCTTCACCACGAAGTTACTGAGTGCAGTGATCTGTCGGGGGATGGGGATGGTCCCACTGGACAGACCCAGGCCCAGCCTGCCATTGGTGGCTTCTCCACAGGCATAGATCTTTCCTTCCACCGTCACTGCAGAGGGCAGGCCACACACATCAGCAGTGTGTACACGTGTGTGTGTGTGTGTGTGTGTGTGTGTGTTCCCACTCACCTGCAAACAGGCTCTTGGATCCTCCTGCTACTTGGACCACGTTAAGAGCGGAGAGGGTTTCGGAGAAGGACGGAACTTTAATCTGTGGACAAAGACGACAACAGTGAGGGGGTCAGAGGTCAGGACTGACTTTTGCTAAAAGGTAGTTTAGAGTTAGTTTAAAGTCAATAGAAAGTGGATGGTTTTCGGTTGGAGAAATTTAATTCAAATATGGCTAAGTGATAGCTTAGGATGGCTAAAATGGCTAACAACTAGCTTTATCTGACAACAAAGACGTTCCTCCTTCATCTGAGGAACGCTTAATTCTCACTAAATGTAACGTGAACTGATGACATAGTGGTTCCACAGGAGCCCAAGTGTGTTGACCCTTGACCCCTACCTTGGAGCCCTTCAGTCCTCCCAGCTGGTCCTTGTCATTCAGGCCCCACACAAAGACTTTGGTCCTGATGCTGGCAGCTGACTCTGGTCCTGATGACTTCTTTCTGGACAAACTACAGACAGAAAGACATTCAGTGGACACGGCTCCTCCCCAACATAACCCTTCTCCTCCTCTTCAGTGTCTCCTACCTCCCTGTGGCTGTTTTTTCCTCCTCCTCCTCTTCATTGTCCGAGGCCAGGAATGGGACGGTGGCCAGGTCTTCATCCTCAGCTCTGATCCTACCAACGACTCCCAGACTATGAATCTTACAGTCGATGCCGGAGCTGCGACACTGTTTAATGGCAATTTCTATGAACCTGTGAAACTGTTGAAGGAGGAGAGTGAGGTTCAGTAGGATGATCATCATCATCATCATCATCATCATCAGTGGTGACATCAGTCAAACTGACCTCAGTACAGTCACTCAGCAGCAGGACGTTGGTGTCCGTGGGGTTGATGTTGATGGTCTTCAGTTCAATCAGGTTGTTCAAAGAACTTCCACCTAAAAGATCCGGCACATTCCACCATCAACTTCAAAACATCTCACACGCTTTGCCCTGCCTTTAATGCAGCTCTGGGTGTTGGCTGCTGCCCGTCACTGACCTGAGACCACCACCAGTGACGGCATGTAGCTGCTGTCTGCAGGGTCCACCACCATCTTCAGCCTGTGGAGCAGGACGTCAGGGAAGAGCTCCAGACGGATCCAGTGCTGTGGAGAGAGAGTGAGGGGGGGGAGGAGGGGTCTTCAAACTACAACAATAGCCACAACGTTGACAACAGTCACAACAGAGATTGTGATAGTGAGCCCAGTCAGAGCCCAGGTCTTGACCCTCACCTTCCCCTGTGACCCTGACGACTGCCAGCACTGATCACTGCAGTCAATCAGACGCGAGGCCTGGTTCACTGACGATGACACGTTCAGACTCTTTACTGCTCTGGACCAATCATCGATCAGCATTCCTCTCTGGCTGCTCTGCTGCTTTTTCAGCTGCTTCCCTGAGCGGCCACAGAAGGACGGACTCTGACCTGAGAGACAGAGACCGTGATCAGGGTCAAACATCATTAAATGTTTGGGGTTTTTTTTAACAGTATGGCTCCTCAGAGGTCAGCGACCTCTGATCTGTCCCACGGAAGGAAAGTTGACGTGAAAAAATGGGAGGAGTCAAATGAAAATCTCTCACCAGGTTCGTTGATTCGTCCAAACAAGTGTCGGCTGTTGTGTTTACAAGTCTTAAAACAGTTCTCACAGAAGTCAAAGTCCTCACAGTTCCTGCACTTGAACCTGGGACCGTTGATAGGGAACATCTGACAGCCGTCACACCTGTGACACACACACACACAGACACTGTGAGGGCAGACTGACTGACAGACAGACAGAACACAGATGTGACTCCCCGGGTCGGTACCTGACTCCGGGGTGAACACTGGGAACCAGCTCCATCTCAGACAGCAGACCAGTCCAGTGGCTCTGCTGAGGGAAGTCCACGATCACGTCCTTCCCGTTGGCACTGAAGGCTACAAGAAACCAGCAGTGACTCACGGTTACCATGTGACATGATCAGAATCTGGATCCTGGTTCATGCACTGACCTTTGACCACGCCCACACTCCTGTGAGTGACAGATCCCCACTTGTACTTTGGTGTAGTCACACTGGGCTTGACTCTCACTTTGTCTCCAATTTTTATGTGAGATGGAGAACTTTGTGCTGGGAACCCTGGAGGAGCAAATCAAAAGGAATCAGGATCCACCATCTACCGTCGTCGTCACCATCATCATTATCATCATTATCATCATTATCATCATTATCATCATTATCATCATTATCATCATTATCATCATTATCATCATTATCATCATTATCATCATTATCATCATTATCATCATTATCATCATTATCATCATTATCATCATTATCATCATTATCATCATTATCATCATTATCATCATTATCATCATTATCATCATTATCATCATCATCATCCTCATCATCATCATCATCATCACAGGTTTGGAGACCCAACTGACCCAGCAGCTCGATGTGGATGTATCTGACCCAGTAGGTTCCTCCTTTCTGCTGCCAGTCACACTGGACGTTCAGGTCGTGCAGTCCGTCTCTGTCCAGTTTGATCACCTTGCCCACGTCTCCGTCGTACACCTCCTCGTACGTTCTGCAGCACTTCACCATCATCCCCACCTGAGCACAGGTCAAAGGTGTCACCTTCAGCTCCTCGTGAGGAACCTTCCAGAGTGTGAGCGTTGACCTCTCACCTGGATGTTTTCTCTGATGTAGACGGCGTAGTCGTCGTTGCTTTGAAAGTCTGACCTTTTCTTGAACGTCTGGCTCTCCGTCACCACGGCACCTGCGGGCTGAGGAGGTGGAGACAGGAGCAACGTCATCCACACATTTCAAACGCCAGCAAAGAAAGAGTGAAAGTCCTCCTGACCAACCATGGAGAAGGTGGGCTCCGCCTCGTCCAGCTCCTCCAGCACCTCCTCTTCAGAGTATTCGTCTGACACGGTGTCTACGTCTGATGTCTCAGTGACATGAACGTCTGGGTGGTCCAGCAGCCAGCTCACCAGCGCCTCCACACCTGAAACACAGAAATACTCCTAGAATTATAACTATAAATATAAATATAAAAATGTTTAGAAATAACCGACCAACAGCCATTTTAACCTGGTGTCCCACCGGCGCCCCCTGTGCTTCCTGATAGTGACTTCAGGGCAAACTCGACGTTCTTGCGTGGGAAGCCCATCTCCATCAGCTGGAGGACGATGGGTAACGGCGGCACAGGTGAGGTCTTGTGTTTCTTCTGTTTGGGCGGTCGGATGTGTTGGACAGTGACGGGTGTGGTGGCTTCACTGGAGCTGCTCTCCTCCAACACAGGAGACGACGGGTGAGTGGACTCCACAGCCAGGAACTGACAGACGGCCAGAGCTGCTGCCTGCATTCCCACGGTGGAGTTAGCATAAGTTAGCATCGTTTGGATCATAGCAAAAACTAATGTCACCTCAACGTTTATTAAAGTCAGGGCTGTGGAAAAGAACGCCCTGGTGGAGGACGAAGCCAAACGGTGACATAAAAAGACTGAAACAGAGAGATGTTATTAAGGTGAAAAGCAGCTAAAGGTTAGCCTAAAAATATCTAAAAGATGAAGCTGACTCAGCAGTAAATGAAGAAGTTCAAACGGAGCGACTCACCTCCATCTCCTGACGGTCAAAGATGGCTTTGATTGGCGACGGCTGGGTGGCAGCAGAGAGCAGCTGCTGCAGGAGGATGAGTGGAGGAAGTGGACCTTCAGGCGAAAGGTCACCGACATCAGGAGAGGTCACCACCGTGTCCTCTGTGGGTGAGAGAGAGCACAGAGTGAAGATGGTTCTGTTCTGGAGACGACAGTCTGTGGGACTGGAGTCTGTGACTCACCACTGGGGCTGGAGCCGACGTCCAGCACCGCAGGCTGGGACAGGATCTGACGCAGTTTGTCCTGGTGAGAGAGCAGAGCTCGAGCTGCCTTCAGGATGTAGAGTCGCAGCTGCTGACAGCGCAGCAGGTGGACGTCCACCTGGTCGGCTGAGAACACGAGACAAGGTCCAGAGTGAGAAGGGCCGAAGAAGGTGCCGGGTTCTGAACCCTCAGCAGGGCTTTGACCACTTCGATAAATCGGACAAAAAAGTGGAAGCTGCTGACAGTGGAGGAACTGCACAGACGAACACGTCCATCACTGACCACATGACTCTCCGTACGAACACAGCAGAGCCTGGTGCTCCCAGTCACATGATCACATGATCCTCCACTTATACAGTAACGAACCTGTGACGGGCAGCATCACCTGATCTTACCACGGACTACGACGACTGGTGAAATCAATGAAAAAAATATCAGCCCACTTTGGACTCTTCGACCCCCAGGGGGCGTCGATTCCTGCCACCCACGTCGTAGCCCTAACCTCAGTCAGTTCTTCTAACCCCGAACCTAACCTTTGGTAACCTGCTCAAAGATTTTTTTCTGCTGCAGGGATTATATAGTTCCACCTAAATAGTATTAATAAAGTCATAATTTAATGATCCCATATTTGGAAGATTCTTGTGTGATCTGCTGTAACACGCTGACGTGCTAACTGCTACACTATGGAACCGATCGTTGTGTGAAGTCCCTCCACTGCTCCACTAGAACATCAGAGGGAGGTGTTCTCCTCACCTGGGAGGCCTCGGCTCAGGGACTTCTTCAGCCTCTGTTTCTCCAGTCTGCTCCCAGCCAGGCTGACCAGCTGAGCCCAGACTGTCAGCATGGTGTCAGTGAAGGGCAGGTTGTGAACACTGAAGGTCAGAGCTGCG